TGTGTATATATATATATTATATGTATATATGTATATATGTATATGTATATATATATATTATATGTATATGTATATATGTATATATGTATATATATATATTATATGTATATGTATATATTATATGTATATATATATATATTATATGTATATGTATATATATATATTATATGTATATATATATATATATTATATGTATATATATATATATAATTTTTAGTATGTAAATTTCATCTCTTCATTGATTTAAATTGATTTATAGCCGGCTTGTAAGGATTAGCTTTAGGCAAGTTGTAACTTTTCTTCATTTAAATATTACAGTGAAGACCTATACGACGCAGTGACAAAAGAGCAATGGGTTGAGGTACGAGACATCATGAGACGCCAACCTCTACTCGTAAATGAGACACCTGTAAGTTATGTATTCCAAATTATTTGTTATTATCTCTAGTATAATCACAACAAGTATCAATCAACACAATTGTTGTCAAGTTCAGTGCCTACAATATCTAGTAGGCACTGATCTAATCTAGGCCTATTCAACAATTGGAAATTGAAATTTGAACTTTATCGGGACAATTTAAGAATGACCAACTGGAAGAAAACAAAACAAAAAAAAAGAAACCAAATTATTATACGTGAAAAAAATATAAAAGTGTCCCCTGAATTTTCCGTAAATAAGGGTACCACTATTCAGGGGACACAACCAAAAATGTGAATAGTGTCTTCTTGGTAGGGATTTTGGTATGTTTGCGTATCATGATGACATATAAATGATTGATTTTTTTTTACTTAAGAATAAGTTACAGTGGAATTATAACCAATTTATTGGTTATAATTTTTATAATGATTCCGAACAGAGACAGGGAGCCCATGGCCATAGTAGGCCATCCAATAATAAAGAATAGGCAGATTTTGTCTCAAAAGAGTATTGGTTTAAAGCTTGGTAAAATCGTTAATTAGTCGTTAAAACTTATGTGTTTGGATTACTTTTTAAACTCTACTCAAGAGAAAGTCAATTATGATCTTAAAAATATAGATTTTCAGAAAAAAAAATGATTCCGAACAGATGGGCCTACAGAATTTATATGATAAAGAAAAATTTAAACTAGTGGATAAAACATATCATTGTCTGTATTCTTTTCAAACCTTTATACAAAAGAAATATATCTTGAGTGTTAAAAATACAAAATTCATAAAAAATTATGATCTGAACAAAACCCTAAATTAACATAAAATTGTTCTATGCAAAAGAATAGGGAAAAGCGTTCAGAAAAAAAATGATAAAATTTACGAATTTAAACGATTTAGCTATAAATTGTTAGTTAATTTGTAATAATATTAAAATATTTAATTGATTGTGATTATTTAATGTAATTATGATGTGATTAAGTTGTGTTTATATGTGATATTTTGTGTATGTGTGACAGTTGAATGTGTTTTGTTATCGTATTTTGTTGTTTTCGTAGCTCGGCTGCCCGTTATTATATAAGATTGTGTACCACAGAGCACCGCGTGATGTCGTGGCTGAGAGTTTAAAATCAGCGACGGCAGAAGCAATCGACTACGTGAGGACGGTGAGTAGAATTATGTATCATTACAATTACGACATCAACACACAAAATACAACAACTCATCATATACACAACATACCATACACTACTCTACATCAATTCTTACCTAACAACAACAATTTATTACACTTACAAAACATATTTTAATCATCATCCACACTATAAATATGATATTTTATTGTATTTTACGATCAATATTGATAATTTATTGTTTGAATTTCCACATCATTAACATGTAAAAAATAACATTTCTTTAAACAATTTTTTTTTTTTTTGAAATGATGATTTAACTTGTACAAAACATAGGGCATCCATGTTGTGTGATACAGCAAAATCAATGTGAAAAAGCTTGTTTATAGTTGCTGAAAATCAAAACATAGGGTGTCCATGTTTGAATTTCCACATCATTAACATGTAAAAAGTAAAATTTTAAGAAATGTTACTTTTTACATGTTAATGTAACATTTCTTTAAAAAAAAAATTTTTTTGTTGATATGATGATTTAACTAACATAGGGCATCCATGTTGTGTGATACAGCAAAATCAATGTGAAAAGGCTTGTTTATAGTTGCTGAAAATCAAAACATAGGGTGTCCATGTTGATTCAAAGCCAAGCAAATGAATAATTCTGAATTGGAGCACCGCGTGATGTCGTGGCTGAGAGTTTAAAATCAGCGACGGCAGAAGCAATCGACTACGTGAGGACGGTGAGTAGAATTATGTATCAATACAATTACAACATCAACACACAAAATACAACAACACAGCATCATATACACAACATACCATACACTACTCTACATCAATTCTTACCTAACAACAACAATTTATTACACTTAAAACATATTTTAATCATCATCCACACTATAAATATGATATTTTATTGTATTTTACGATCAATATTGATAATTTATTGTTTGAATTTCCACATCATTAACATGTAAAAAATAACATTTCTTTAAACAATTTTTTTTTTTTTTTTTTTTTGAAATGATGATTTAACTAACATAGGGCATCCATGTTGTGTGATACAGCAAAATCAATGTGAAAAGGCTTGTTTATAGTTGCTGAAAATCAAAACATAGGGTGTCCATGTTGATTGAAAGCCAAGCAAATGAATAATTCTGAATTGCCCATGAACCAATACAATTTGCTGAAAATCAGCTTTAATAATAATAATAATAATATTTATTTGGCAAAAAGCATATAGGAGAAAAACATAGAAAATTCACATTTGTGTTTTTTGTTTATTTGTTCGAGTTGTCAATGTGCACTGAATATGAATTTTACATTTTTTAGATAAATTCCATAAAAAGTTTATTACCCAAAAATTATTTTTTTAAAGAGATGATGTGTTATATATTCTCTGTTTTCATATTCCTTGTTCATTGTGTAGCGCCTTGGTCGTGATGATTGCATTCTACATCGCATTGCTAAACTCGGCTATGCACAGGAAATGAGAGAGGCTCTGACAATTTCTGCACGCAATGTGAATTTAAAAGAAGACTGGGTACGTATAGGAAACAACACATTCATTATAACACTAAATGACAATTCACCATCTTCAAATTTATTAATCCATCATCACGTACAAGCATTTATCATAATTTCATTATCATTATAGCCTATAGGCTTATAATAAATAACAATAAATAATTAAATTTCAACAATTCAAAAAATACTAATTTACATTTTTCGTGAAATATGCCTCATATGGTTTTAGTTTTTAATACTTTGGCGGGTTTTTTTTTGTGGAGCCAATTCGATGCCCTGCTGAGCTAGGCCTAGGCACATATTAGTGAATCTTTAACATGTTATTTAGGTTGCAGACCTTGGCACTTGACTAAGGTCCTGACGGTGACACTTGTTTATATAGAAGGCTGTGTAATGCAAGTCCTTGCTGGTGGAATCGAGCCCAGGCCTGTGTTATGAATGATGTAATTACTATTATTATAGGCCTAGTAGCCTCCTATTAAGTCTTAGGCATGCCTAAATGTTTGTTAGTTCCTTTGTGACCTTAATGTCACAAGGAACTAATGGGGAAATTCGAACGTGAAATGTGTGTGTGTGTGTGTGTGAGAGCAGCGGGTTTGTAAACAAATAGGCTCCTAAACGGTGCCTCACAGTGGGTATAATGTTTTCCTCATAGTAACTGGTGGACATGTAGTTGTGCAAGAATTGTTTGTTTTTTATGTTAGATGAGAAATGTAGGACGTACGCGATAAAACATATACCCCCTACCATCATTTCTGAGTCGTTTTTAGGAGAAAATTTCGATATGCGCATGCGTCGGAAAAACTTTGCCGACATTTTGTTTTTCATCGCGAGAGGGTAAGCAGCTCCATAATGCATACCTTGTTGGTGTAGTTAACCAATTGTTTATGGGATCGTCGGTAGGGTTAGGCCTCTGTCGTGTTAATGTAGCAGGTGCACGTGTTATTATAAAGGAAAAAAGTGATCTAACCAAACACAGTCTTTATATAATGGTATTGGATCGAACGTGTTTAATATTTTGTGGAAATTTTGTTTTCTATCGCGAGAGTATACAGTTTACACAAGAGAAGTTGTCTGTTGTTTATGCGAACGTCTAGGCCCTAGCGTGAACTTAGGTAGTTGTGGTAAATCGACTACTGCTTGTCGTCTGGTAGGTGTAACGTGTGTTTTAGTAAAAATTAATGTGATCTGAACAACATTTTACATTATGGTATTGAATCGAATGTGCTTACTTACCTAAAGTCTTTTACACACGATGAACACAGCAATTGACGTTGCTGTTGGTGTGCAATACGTACAAAACACGACGACGACAGCAGCATTCAGTCTGTCTTGTTAAAATAAATAATATATTGGTCTACCACAAGACTACCATACAGATCAATAAACAATAATCCGCGAAAAAATAAAAATCAAGAGTATTTGTAACGATTGAATATGTAGCATAAATGCATTTTGTGAAAACCTGGTGTACAGTTAACTGTACTGTACTTCAAACACAGAAACATCGTTGAAATGATCTTCTAGGCATATATTAAAAAACGAAAAGAAAGTGGTGCAGAAAAAAACAAATTGTGCACAGTTACTGTACTTTAAACACAGAAAAACGTATGTGTCGTCAGTATTATGAAGTTTTTTGTTTACGACTGCTGTGTAATTTTACTGGTTTACAACATACTCATGTCATGTATACTTGAATATGTAAAATAAATGAGTATTCCGTATTCTTAACTCTCTGCAAACTCGAAAATAAATCATTGACCGAGGCACGTTTTATCTACCTTCATACAGCGCATGCGTGACATGCAGTATGCAGAGCAGTGGTTAGTTATTGTGATAACTATTCTACTTATTACGCATGCATGTCACTAAGCAGATTTTGAAGAACGAAAGAATATTTGTTATTGTCAAACCATGGAGGTATGTCAAACAATGAAGACTATTTTAGTAGATGATAAATGGATAAGTTTGAGTTCTAAAACCGCCAACTTTGGTTCTGTGGTTTGACCAGTCAAGTTCAAAACAGTGGCAAATCTGCCAAATTGTGAAAAAATAAAAATGAAGGACATTTTGTGGTATAACCCAATACCACCCCAGGCTACCATGGTTTGGGTTAAGGTGGGAGCTTTTTAGGACATGACAGCTTTGGATACCCAAAAATGTTAATCGTACTTCAAAATTTGTTATCTCAAATTGATGTCCCGATTTCCGATGTCAAAAACACCAAAAAATAGGGACGTCCCTATTTTTAGAATTTAAAAAAAAAAAAATTAATTGCAAGAATAAAAAAATAAAAAAAATAATTGCAAGAAGTATCCACTACTTGCCAGTGTGATGAAGGGAATATTAGTCCGTGGTTCCCCGGGTATAATCCCATCCCCATGAACGCGAAACTGCCCCTTTGGGGGGGGGGGGGGGGGGTTGGAATTATACCCCAGGATTCCCTAGGCCTCGGAAATGATGATCGTTTTGCAAGGTGGTTTTCACCTACGATTCAATAGCCTATCAAAACAATATTCGGGCGAAGAAATCAGTCTTGCATGATGTAACGAGTTATTTTTAGCAGCGAAGCTCTGTGGAAACACGTGAGTCTTCACGCTGTGAATTAACGATCCGATCAGCCCACTGGGCAGGTCTTTTCAGGGACGGACCGCGGTGTTGTCTATCTTTACTTTAGCCGTAGTTAGCGAGCTGCTTATTTTTAGCGACAGTAAACAACAAAGTAATTTACAAGAATGGGCTTTGTGTTTTAATTTATGGTGACCAATGTCAGTTTTAAGCAATTTTAAGAGTTTCAAATCGGCAGAATTCGGAGACAATTCCTTTAATTTTTTGAGCATTTGTTAAATTTACCTAGGGCCAGGCCGACCTACCCAATCCTCAGACCCTGGGACTTCACCCGGGGAAATTCATGTACGCGAAGTTGGGCGTAAAGTCGGTGTGGAATTCTACCTGGGGAACTATGGTAATATTTTATAGCAGTAGTGACTGAGAGAGTTTTCTCTATTGTTGAAAAAACAAAACCAAGCTTCGAGCTAGCATGACAACAAAAACTTAAAGTGC